ACATTTGAACTTTACTGTGATTGAGGTGTTAGCTTATAAAGAAAGTATCAATATAAAAATAAATATAAGACAACATCACATACATCGATCAGATTCCGGATGAGTAGCTAAAGCACACTACAATACCCAGACTCGAGAAAATATAGAAAAGTCATTATCTATATTTACCCAACCGGGAAACCCGGGATTTCAGAAATGGTGACAACTTGAAACCGGCGTTTCGGAAGTTATCTAAATGATGAAAATTATATTTGTTAATCATATACTTGAGGATTGGTGGACCGATTTGGCAATTTTTTAAAGCTTTAATAACATGGGAGAAGACTCGAACAAAATGTGTGGTAAATATTAAAAGCAACAATTATATATGTTTTTAAATACAAACTGGTCTTACCTATCAGACAGGGTGCGTTTAGATATTAATTTTATTGAGGTGGTCTGAAGTTTGTCAAAATCCTAGTAATTCATTTTTTTTTTTGTAATAAATCGACTATCTACTAAACTTAGTCATTTTGTTTTCAAAGGTCGTGCTAGGGCAGATGACCCTGATGGTTGGATGATAGTTTTAGCCGTTTTAATTATAACGAGGAAGTGAACATTAACACATCACAGCTCTTGAATGTAGTAGTTTTGCTATATACTGTATATACAACAGTTTAAAAATCGTTATCGGTTAAGTAATATTTTCTATAACCCGGAGGCAAACCTTTAAGGCATACCTTGAAGAACCAAATGGCCAAAACCGGGCAGTGGACAAAGCCGGGTCCGTCCTATGTTTAGACATTTTGACATATTGTGGTAACCAGATGTCTGCTATATATAATAGTGTATTTACTCCTAATGAAGATAAACCCCTACACACAAACAAAGATGAATGATTGAAAGACAAAATGAGCTTCATATGTAGTGTACATATTAGGTAGTGTACATCAGAATTCACATTTCATCCAAAGATAAAAAATATATATCTCGAAATAATGATCTTGATAAAAGAGGCTATCGATAAAAAAACTTTAATCAAAACAGTCTCTCTGTTTACAAACTAGGATGCTATAAGTACAAGTGATTGAAAGATCTACTTTTTCTTGGTAAAGTGCCTGTAGGTCCTGAACTACTGATCCGATTTTCATAAAACATAGCTAATAGCCACTGCCGTGAACAAGGTTTACAAATAAAAAAATCTGCAATAAAATTGGTTCATTGCTTCAGGAGTTACGGTGCCACAGACGACTGACACGACAAACTTAATACACTCCTCTTTTTGCGTCGCCGAAAATTATTAAATTGTTCAAAATTTAAATTTTGTCTGAAATAACTTATAAATTTTAATTATGTATAAGGTTATGTATTTCCATTCCAGTGAATTCAAATATACCAATTTTACTTAACAATCTTTAACATTATCATTGGACGTTCGTTGTAACGGCTTAATGCTACAAATCTCGATGCTATGTTATTGCGCTAATAACATAGCATCGAGATTTGTTTGGGGATGCATTACTAACCTTTGTGGTTTCCTATAGAATATTTTATTGCAAGATCTTATTGCGATATTATCTTGCGCTAATGTATAACCTATTTCAAAATAAAGATTTATGTTGTGTGATCGAAACATTCGATGGCTAGGGTTTATTATGGCCTAATGAATACTATATGTGAAAAATAAATTTTGTTAAGTCAGTATTTATACCTTAAAAGGAAAAATCGGAACCCTATTATAATCACTCGATTATCAATGCACTAGTCCGTTATTCTGCTACAGGTGATTTGTTGGGAAATTGAGGATAATTTAAGTTGAAAATAAAAAAAAGTGGAAGGTCAAGTAAAGAACATTACATACAATTTTTTACAATATATTCGACGGTCTTTTAATAAATAGGACGGTCTTTTAAAATTTAAAATTTTACTAAGTTTATTGTGTGATATATTGAAATAGTGATATGTCCGTTAATATCTTTTTTCTTCTTGTCCTTTGAGTTCTGGTAATTATTTTACAGATTAAAACAGAAATTCTGTGCTACTTTAAACATCAGTCTAACTAAACTATGTGTTATCTCTAGTTATATAAAAATATTTTCATCTCTGGCGATTTGAAATACCGCAAAATAATTTCAATCATCGATTCAGATGAAGAATCAGATTTTTCGAATGACCTTTTGACTTTTAGTATATAACTTTGATATTTTAACAACATACCTTTATTTGCTAAAGTTTTTGAGGTTCTCTGTCGAGACCGTCTGTAAGTAACATGTTTAGATAAGGTAATAAGTTGCGAGCTTGCTTTGAATAGATGAAAAGCCACAGGGAAAACGACTTCGTAATATTACGAATTCGAAAAAAAAAATTGAATTTGTATACATTATTTCTGACTTCAAACGTTGTCAAAGTGTAGTTTTAGCTTTGATTTGCAAAAAATAAGTTAGTCATATTTTATCAACTACTTAGAACTTTTGTGCTTAAATGCTAGTATTATACAGTAAATATTTAAGGCATTATCCACATAAATTTCCATTATTTTCCCGATCACGGTAGAACAAAAAAAGAAAGATTAGGATTACAATTATTTTGTTTCTGTGGCATAACATATATGACATGAGAATAATTTCCTGTTTTGTGTTTTTTCCGCATATAATAGTAGGTAGAGTCATATGGGAAAAGAGTACGCACTCTGTGCTTCAACCTCTTATGATTGATATGAGCCGGTTCAAAATCAGATTGGGAAATTATTAAGTACATTCGGACGTCCCATCATGACTCCGAAGATATATCCATTTTAAAAATTAAAAGTACTAGCCATGCTGACACTTCCTGCGGCACATTTTACGTACGACTCTATCTAGCGTACATACTCTCAGCGATGGTGTTGTGATATACAATGTTACTTCAAATACTGTTAAATTTTAAGTATTTTTATAAGAAGTTAGCTGTTTTCCTGCAACTTCGACTACGTTATTTGCGCGGATAACATAATATTATAATTATGTTATCCGCGTATGACTCAGCATCCTGTAGGTGAAAGTTCATTATTAGTATAGAGTCTATGATATAGACTATGAATTGAAACCTCGAATTTCATGACATTTAAAAAAAAGAACCGGATTTCTATTAAATTTTTACAGCTGTTAGAACACCAATATGAAAATCTATTATGAACATGTTAAACGTAATGTTCCGCCAGCGTGGAGACAGCGGGAAGCGTCTATGTTTTACACTATAGTAGTATAAATAGATATGGTAATTTGACTGAGCCAATTTATCTTATTATTAAACTTCATGCTGAAAAAATTAAAACAATTTAAAAATAAAACTAATAACAGTGTCAATGTTCCGTCAAAATATGATTTTTGATAACAAGTGTCATCACAGTGACACTGTAATATATATGGCTTTTGCATAAGTTTGAAATTCTTATTAATTGGCAAATATTAAATAAATTGTTTCAAAATGTTAATACCCACGTGCGTAATCAAATTATTTGAATTAGTAAGTATATTTATTATGGACCTCATCGGGGGGAATCGTTAGGGATTCTGTATTATGCTGCTGTTGTTTTTGTCAAGATATATATTAGTTTTATTGTCGCTGTATATTAGCTATTATATTATTACAATTTGATTATCATAAAATTTAAAAGAATAAAACGAAATCTTCACCTTTATATTATTACTAGTTGACTTCTTACTAGTTTATTTTCCACGACTTCGCTTGGGTCGAAGATTTTTTTAAATCGGTCCAAAAGTTTTGGATTCCATTCATTTTAAACAAACAAAGAATCAAATCTTTCCTCTTTAAAATATTGGTATAGATTATTGATAAATATCTTTATTCGATTTAATATTATTTTATTATTATATATTATTACATTTCCTACATGTTTAAATCTCTTCTCTTTGGAGTTGGACAACTGAGAATAGAATGGACTTAAAGATTTTAAGCTAACGTTAGCTGAGAATTGCAATTATGTATTTTACAAATAAGTAATTCGTGGACTAGTGGACTATACGTGGACTATTCGTGGACTATTCGTGGACTATTCGTGGACTGTAGTATTGTAACTCTGGTAAATTGGAAAACAAATAACATTATTCTAGTAACAATATCGTTGTAGTTATAAATACTGTCGATAGAGTTGCGGTTGGTTGTGCTATCTTGAGGATTCTTTTTAGATTTAAAGTAAGATTATTGTAGTATATAAAATTATATATATGTACCACATCAGTGGCTTGATGGATCGTACATCCTAGACGACCCGGATTCAATTCAAAATTGAATTCCCGGTCGGATTAGTTTTGTAAGAATTATTAGAATTATTTTATTAAACAAGTCGATATATTTATGGTGACGGTATTGTTATATAACGTCATTTACGATTTATAGACAATCTACCAATTTATTTTGAGGTTGAAGCAAATCTCTGATTCCAAAATCTTTATTACAGATGCTAACAGTAGCTTGTTTGACCCTTCATCACTACAGTTTTGACCTCACAGATTTACCAACGCTTATGCTTTGTTCTGGTACTTACGTTGGCTATGTCGTAGTACTTTCAGGGGAGATAGTAGGTAAGTTAAATAATAATGTTTGTTTTAAAGGAAATTGTATCATGTTAATTACAAGCGCAATGTGAAGTTGCTTTCGTAGTATATCAATTTTTATTTTTTATTATAAAATACAGAGTAAACTTTATTGTAGAACATTAATCAGATACCGTTATTTTGTTTTAATAATTTAATTAGTCTCAATTTACTTTAGAGACACATGAAGTTTAAAGCAATTCTAGTGGTCTTCATATTTAGGTACTCGCTTGTCTAATCGAATGTGACACATACATGGGAAAGTCGCACTTATTATAATTATGTCAGCTTTATATTACTATATTACTTTACTGTAGGAGTGACAATTACACTAATTACGTAATTAAAGTGTCATTTACACAGTAAATAAAGACCTGCAAAATTTTGATGAAGTGTCATTTAATAGGTCTAAAAATTTTAGGCGAAATGATATTTGCGCCCCTCGATCTCGTCCAAGACATGTACTATGGCATCCTGGGTATTGCTCTCTTCGCAATCAGCGGTGGTCTAGTATTATCTGCGAGGACCAGGCCATCTTTATATCCTAGAACAGGAGATCCTACGTTGGCCTTGATCGGTGGCTCTCTGGCTATTGCGAATGCATTCATGATGCTATTCGATCTCAGCCTAGCATATCTGGACTCTGAGGAGTTTGAAGAAGAAAGTGTATAGCTTTTAAGGTCGGTTATTTGATTTTTGTTCACGTAAATAATTTGGCCTGAGTGCTTCATAATCTAATTCATGTATAAGTAAGTGTGGCTTTCTCATTTCTCATATTTTTAATTTATTAAAAAATCAGTATGTAGTCCAGTACGGTTCGGACATCGGTAAAGAAAGAAAATACAAACACGCTGAATCCGTTTGAAGTTGTTTCATTTTATACATAAATATATAATGAATTGGTTGTAGTATTCTGATGATGATTTGGATACTCTGAATAGACTTAATCTTTTCTTTTTTCTGTTTCCGAAGGCAATTAAAGTCATTTGTCTCAAATGTATATGCAGCTATTAGTACCGACTAATTTGCACTGGACCTGGGTGATGGGTCATTCATATCACAGGGAAGGACGTTAATAGGTTAACCATGCATGTTCATGATAATCTCAACGAAAACCACTATTGCTTTCCACAACAATGAATCCGTATCTATTGTGTCTCCAGACTTTTGAGAAGTCTGTGGATTTAGTTAATGCTCTTTTCAGGTGAAGCAGTGTCGGCGGCAGCAGACGCTTACATCGACGCGTGGTGGTCGGCGTGTGGTGGTGCTTTATTTGGCATGTGTGGTGCGTTAACACTGCGATCGTGGCGGGAAGTTCCGGCATGCTTACGACGCACTTACGCGCAAGCTAACGCTGTATGCTCGCTGGCCGCTGCAGCGTTACTTACCATAGATGCACTGCTCGCCGCATGTTCAGCTCATAAGGATGACGACGCTAGCACTAGGACTAAGTCAAAGAAATCTCTTCCCCGACGTTGACACTACTTTATATTTCTTTATTAGAGATAACCGATTTTTTGTAAAGATTTTTTGTTTGTAAAAGTAACGTTTTATAAATGTGCTCTAATAAAGTGCCTATTGAAATCCTACTTTGATTTGTACTTTATAATAGGAACAATAAATTATAATCTTCTTAATTAAGCCGCTTGTAGCCTGTAGCCCAGTAAACAAAACATTAAAATTTACTTTTTGGTAAAAATTGACGAAGTTCTTAATTTGCGAAAAGTACAAACAATAATTGTATAGTTTTATAATATAAGGGAGCCGAATCGAAAAACTTCACCTTTTTTTGAAGTTTAAATACCTAATACATATCCGTAAGATGATTAGATGTCTTAAAAATAGCACATTAATGTTAAAACATTGTATCATACTTGGATGACTTGTTTATGACGAGATATGTTCGTCTATATATATTTCATATGTCTGTATGTTATGATTATATCTGTACGTAATACTTTAATATAGCCATTTTAAAGTGTTAATTAGCTGGCACTGTGTTAATATACTTGGTCAGTATTGAGTAGGTGAAGTTAAGTTAATAACACACGAGTGCCAATAATGAGACGGACGTTATACTTATCAAAGAAATTATTTAACAACAGGATTAATTAACGTAAAAAAAATACTATTAATAAATAAAATGTTACACACAGGGAAAAATGTTATCACTACATGATTTTTCCGTATAGTTTAGTGTTACTTTATACTTAAATATAGAAATTGATAATTATATTTTATTTTAATAATTATTTTGTTGAAGTCTGTTTAGTTTTATATCGGACCTTATTCAATAGTGCCAAAAAAATAACAAATCTTTCCTCTTTTTAGGGTTCTCTACCCAAAGGGTCAAACGGGAACCCTATTACTAAGACTTCGCTGTCTGTCTGTTTCTCACCAGGCTGTATCTCATGAACCATGAAAGTTACACAGTTGAAATTTTCACAGATTATTTATTTCCGTTACCGGTTTAACAACGAATACGAAAAACCAGAATAAAATAAATATTTAAAGGGGCTCCCATAAAACATACGTGATTTTTAAATCGTTACCGGTGCGTCCTTCGTGAGCAAGTGCGACTCACACTTGGCTGATTTTGTTAAATAATACAGTTTTTACATTCAATACATTTGTAATATTTTTTTACAACAAAGAATCTTGAATTTTAAAATTTGCTATTCTGACTTCTAAAATCAACATTTCTAAGTTATCAATAAAAATATCCGTATATTTTATGAATATCGCTTTACACACGCGTAGATAATGGTGTATCATCATCACTATTTCATTGAATCATAGTCGAAAAACGATCGAGTATATCAGCCGAATGATCTCACTTCAACTAAAAGTTTGTTCGCACCACGGCCACGGGCGATACGGTGCGTGCCTCGCCGCCTAGTCGCGTCATTCTTGTTGTTGTATCGTAAAGGAATACAACCGTGCACAAGCCGCCTAGTTTCACAAGCGACCCCGCCCAGCGTGCACGTGTATTCAAGTGTCAATTGTAAACAAACTCGTTCTATTTTCAAACTTCAAAATGAATATCAGCCGATTGTCTATTATCAAGTTCCTTGAATTGGTAAGTTTTATTTAGTTCCGAATTTATATTGCCATGAGATTTATAATGCTGAATGTTAGTAAATTAAGACAGCCCAAATTTAGGAGTTGGCGTCCTCTAAGCGTCTGGTTGCTCCCATTTTGGATTAAGAAGCAGTTAAATGAACTATAAATTAAAGTGCATCTTAATCTTCTAGTTATTTAATATGATATAAATTTTTATCTACGTTTAAAAGTTGATTGCATTTTTAAAATCGTATGAACTACAATATGACTGGAATAGTAACAGGTGAAATTAGAAATCGTTTTTTATATTGCAGTGCAGTTATATTATTAGGTACATTAATGGATTTCTAATGTTCGTAATTAAAATTATGAGCACGCTACTGAGAGATTAAATATTAATAAATTAAAACATTCACTTAAAAACAATGGTTAGTTAGACATATGTTTTTAAGAAATTATTTCATCCAGATAAGTTTTATAATGTTACTAAAAGAACAAAATATTAACCTTAACTTTAGGGATATAATTAGAATTGCGATGTTAATATTAATTTTAAAAATATCTTCTGACTATAATATTGTTATTTTACAAAGCATACAACATGTATTACAACATGCTTATGTTATCTATGAACTAATCCATTTTTATCATGATATTGAATATAGATAGTCCCAAATGATAAGAATCGTACAAATGCCTGTTTGTATTTTTATCTTTTAACCTTATTTGATATTCAAGAAACTACTACTAAAATTAGAAGAAGGTAAACCTCTAGTCAGAAACAGAGATAAATGAATGAATCCCTAATGGTGATTCTTGAACCATGAAACCGTTTTCCTTACAATGTTTTAAGATATGTTATTCTGTTAAATATATATTTGTATGTATGTATCTTGTCCCAAAAAAATTTTTTATTATTATTATATATTTAAATCGAACTTAAAATATCAAAACTTCATAATATGTTTTTACGAATGTTAACTGTAATGAAGCATTCTGTATACCTAAAGTTATCCCCTTAAATAAAAAAAAAACAATCACAAAAAAAATATATATATATAAAAACTTTCTCATCCTTATATTTATATGAAAATCTAAATCAATGATGTACCTACGCTGCTGCTCACTAGAAAACATATCTACTAAAAAATATTATAAAAGGTCACAAAAAAAGGAAATACAAATTTTCTGAGAAAAAAATATTACTAATAAACATTCCTTAATACTGTCATGATTTAAGACTTGTTCATTAAAACAACAAATGAAGTGGATTTTAGTGATTCACCATATTATCGTCGTTTTATTGTTCATTATATTAATTTTGTTATCAACTGTACCGTGACATCAACTATTCCAAGTTCAAACCTGTGATTCGAACCAATTACGAAAATGATAAATAACTTCTTTAGGTTATTTATTTTTTATTATAATAATATAAACACTAATCAATAAGTAAGTAGTTTTAATAATTCTTCTTCCCACAATTTGCTTTAAATTTTTAATGTAGATCATATTATTAATGTACTAACTGGAAAATTGTTGTATTATTTAATAAGTTCCATTATAAAATAATAGTTTCTAACCAAAACAACAGATGATTTCAAACAACATCCTTTTGGTTTTCATATACATTCTATGTCTATGATAATAATAATTGATAGTATTATTATAAATAATCCGTAAATATTCTTCAAATATTTAAACCCATACATCTTCTGAATTACTAGCTAAAGTGGTAAACCTCCAAAACGGAACTATGCCATTTTTCAATTACAACCAAGGCAAGTTATTTTTTGTGAGGTCCATTCTTCGTTGGTTTAGATGACTTCATTTTCTAAATGTGGCTGTTAGCATTATATCGTAATACGTCTATTAAATCTATTCTCGATCGCGATTTTACGCGAGCTGTACTAGTTTTCAGCTGCCAGCCACTTTGACCAAAACAAAGGTTTGATTCGAATAAGCACCTGTTAATGATCATTTAAAATATGTATTTCATCTTCTTATATCACAAACTTCACAATAAGGAGTCTTAAATCCCATCGTTAACAAACATTCTAATGACCGTGAAAGTTTAATACGAGATGTTCTTCGTAAGTTCTATTAGGTCATAGTTTTAATTGTTTCCTTTTTACAGTGCAGACTTTATGTTTTCTCGTATCTGCACTTGTGCATACATATTTTATGGGTTGCAGTTTTGAACCTTATTATTATAGTAACTACTGGTACTAGCTTGAAATTTAATTATTCTTTTATTTTTGTAGTGTGTCCCTTATCCTTTTTAAATAAATAATCAAAGGAGCTAGAAAGGATTGTATGTTGACTGCTTTGGTTTTTATAATTTTATAGTGCAATTATCATGGTTAAAAGTTATATATTAATTAAAATTGCCTTTAACCACGCTCACTGTAGACATACATAAATTATTTAAATATAATGAAATATCATCAGAATCAAATGATTTGAAATTGCACCAATCTGAAGTTCTTTTGTGTCTTCGAGCATTAACATGAATGAAAATAAAATATTTCTGTAGTTATTAACTTACACGCGAAATCGACAACCACCAGGATAATGTAATAAAACTTCACACACAACATATAGCTTCAAATTATTTAATAATAATATAAACGCAAATTATAGTAAAGATAATGACTGGGTAAAAAAATTAATACTTTTTAGTCCGTCACTCTGATAATAGAAAAATATTAAATACGTATTTTTTTTTATTTCAATTTAACAAGAAATAGCTTAGATAACAGGCATTAAAGTTTTCTACAAAATGTACAAGAACGCGACATCATGTGACATTTTTTACTCAATGTATCGTCGTAATTTAACGATCATGCAAAAAGTACGTGTTTTCAAGAATCTACCTGAAGGAAAAGCAAAAAAAAATTTTCGACATTTTTAATACACTTAATAATAATAATTTAATAGTAATAATTTAATATATTTTTATTTTATTTTATTTGAACTTATGAATTTACTTCTCCAATAATAAACTATGGTTTCCCTAATGAATTAACATTGTCCATTATCACTTGTTGCATTCATTTGATGTTAGAAGAACAATGCGTCTGCTGTTGCGCAGAATTAGCACCTTGACCGTGGGCCGTGGCTACGCAACGCTCTTGCATCATTGTTTCACCTAAATTCAATGAAAACGGTTCTCTTTATCGTGTTAATAGCAAATATAAAAAAAAGTTGAATAAAGTACCCCAAAATTTCGCCACAACTAAATTCAATGAAAACGGTTCTCTTTATCGTGTTAATAGCAAATATAAAAAAAAGTTGATTAAAGTACCCCAAAATTTCGCCACAATTAAATTCAATGAAAACGGTTCTCTTTATCGTGTTCATAGCAAATATAAAAAAAAGTTGAATAAAGTACCCAAAATTTCGCCACAACTAAATTCAATGAAAACGGTTCTCTTTATCGTGTTAATAGCAAATATAAAAAAAAGTTGAATAAAGCACCCCAAAATTTCGCCACAACTAAATTCAATGAAAACGGTTCTCTTTATCGTGTTAATAGCAAATATAAAAAAAAGTTGAATTAAGTACCCCAAAATTTCGCCACAACTAAATTCAATGTATACGGTTCTCTTTATCGTGTTAATAGCAAATATAAAAAAACGTTGAATAAAGTACCCCAAAATTTCGCCACAACTCAATTCAATGAAAACGGTTCTCTTTATCGTGTTAATAGCAAATATAAAAAAAAGTTGAACAAAGTACCCCAAAATTTCGCCACAACTAAATTCAATGGAAACGGTTCTCTTTATCGTGTTAATAGCAAATATAAAAAAAGTTGAATAAAGTACCCCAAAATTTCGCCACAACTAAATTCAATGAAAACGGTTCTCTTTATCGTGTTAATAACAAATATTTAAAAAAAAGTTGAATAAAGTACCCCAAAATTTCGCCACATCACTTGTCACACAGTGACGTTAATTTGAATTGAGACTTAACCCATACTAATTAGTAAAGTAACTAATCTAATTCGCTGCTTATAAACAAAAGGAACATAAATCAAAATTGGCCCAAAGCACAAATTGCCAAAAAAATATGTATGCGAATACATATATTTTTAATTAAAACTTAAAATTGCACGTTTGTTAAAATTAGACCATAAAGTTTAAAGGTTTTGTTATCAAAGACTAAAAATATTCTGATTGTTTGATATTCAGTAAACAAAACTGACTGACTGGAAAATGGCGTCGTCTAATCTCGGTGTATGGTATTGTTGGCTTGGAAGCCATAATTCGGTCAAACCTAGTTTATTCTTTATTATATTATTACTGCGTAAACACATATGTTGTCCCTATAATCGTGATTTACTTTAAAATACTAGGCGGTCAAACAGAATTTGTATCATAGAAAGGTGTGGAATTAAATTAATAAGATATCATTATCACTACTTCAGCTCCATTTAATATAACAAGGTTTAAAATTAAAACTAAACATATGTAAACAAATTTTAAATGAATGGTGACTAGAACTTAACTAAAACGACGTAGAATCATTTATTATTTAAGTACATTGTATAATTTTTTGTCGTTCCAATTGTTATATTTTGCTTTATTTGTGGCTTTTATTTGTTATCTGTTCGAGGTGAGCGCTAATACTTGCTACTTGCAGCACAGACTTGACCAAAGCAGTTATTAACGTGCAATTGGTTTTGTACTTATTTACAACACCAAATAAAGATTTATTATTATTATAATTAGCTTACTCCGCAAACTATGTTCCAATAAAATTCGAGTATTCGAAACAGCTATCTGATATATATATTTTTATAATACCTATTATTATAGATAAAAAACTAGTGAAACATGTCGCATAAGTATATTCACTGATATGATAGCTTCACTTACGATGACTGGAATAATGCCAGTTGACATCATCACCTACTAAGGGTGTGGTTGACGTAATCCATCTAATAGCATGAACACACGAATGTATTCAACTCGCCTTTACAGGTTAAGAATATTCATATATGAAAAAAAAAAA